ATGGGTAACCCAGTAAGTAAAAATATGATCTGTTGGTGAAACCCAGATGGAATTTCTACACTGTGTGAAGAGAGTACAGGTGGGAACAGGCCACCAAAGGCCAGCACCCAGAAGGACCGGAGTCCTGGTAGAGTGAAATGATGCCTATGTGAATGGTCTCATGAGCTTTAAGGTGGAGCACTTGGCAAAGAGCCATCCTAGGCCTCTTAGGGAAAAGAGCATTGCTCCTGGTGGCTTTCTACCTTATTAACTATTATAAGATCTACCATGGAGAAAGTGACCTCACTTTCCTGCTAGAGACCTCACCCTCATGCCTCAGTGGAGAAGCCTCATCTTACCATCCCCCCTGCCATGGCCTACTAGAGAAGGACTGCTGCCTCCCGCCATGGTCCCCAAGACCCTGCACTCTGAGATGCAAGAGTGTTTATGCAACTGACCCTGGGGTCACAAAACATCAAAATGATATTTTAGGTGTTTCAAAAAGAACTTAAAGTCAATTTTAGAAGAGAGTTTGGGAATAAATGCTAAGGAAGAGTTGGAAAATGAACAGAAGTATTATTTAGTATTGAGTAGAACTAAAGAATCTAAAGAGTTTCATGGCATGAGTTTATCAGCATAGCTTTTGTTTTTCCATAGTCAGCTTAAATTATCAATTAGCTATGATCAAAAGTTGAAATTGCCTGGTAATTAACACTTTCACAATTCCAAAAACACTTTAATCTGCAAGTTGAATAAATATTTTTTGAGTTCTTTAAATATCCTGGAGATTAATGGTCTCTCTGCACAATAGCTAAGATATGGAACCAACACAGGTACCTTTCAGTAGATGAATGGATAAAGAAAACGTGGTATATGTATGCGTGTGTGTGTATATATATACACATACAATTGAATGTTACTCAGCCATTAAAAAAATGAAATTATGACATTTGCTGATAAATGAATGGAACTGGAGACTATCATGCCAAATGAAATAAGTCAATCCTAAACAACCAAGAGCCAAATGTTCTCTCTGATATGCAGATGCTAAGACACAATAAGTGGTGGGGGGTATGGAAGTTCAGTGGATTAGACAAAGGGGAATGAAGTCAAGTGAGAGAGGATGGGAAAAGAAAGACAGCAGAATGAATTGGACGTAATTTTCGTATGTTCATATATGAATACATGACCAGTGTCACTTCTCACAAAGTTCAACACAAGAATGGGATCCTAATTAGAGTAAGTTATACTCCCCGTATGTATAGTATGTCAAAATGTACTCTACTGACGTATATATCTAATAAGAAGAAATAAAAAATGAAATAGGAAAAAAAGAAATGCTTAAGAGATATATTGGAAAACAGGTTTTAAGCATATATATATATATATATATATATGTAAATATATATATGGATATATATATATGATCACTTTTGTCTTTTAATGATGTGTTAGTTCATTGTACATGTGATTCCTGCTGTGTTAGCTCATTTCTACTGTCTCATTCCATAGTTTGTAATTATTTTGCTTTCTGTTTCTTTATTTTAATTTTTATCTTCTTTTGTATTGATTTTTCCTCATTAAGTATATTTTCCTGCTATGGTTTGAATCCCATATACTTTATTTCAATTATTTTTGCTAGATACTTGACTAAAATTTTAATTTTATTCTAAGTGCAAGAGTTAAAACTAAAGTTCTTGGTCATGGAGCCTCAGTACATGTACCTAGGACAGATATCTACTTCAAAGTTATGTTTCTGATATTACTGCTCCCATTACTGCTCTCATTTTACCTTTGTGTTTTGAGGATTTTACATACCTTCTCTCCAGCTCAAACATGCATTGAAAGTTAATTTTAAAAAAAATTACCCATAATTTTTAATGTTTTGGGAATAGGGTTTTTTTAAAAGGATATTTTGTCTTCCACATGAATTTATTTGTAAATTTTTTTAAAAAAAATACTAAGAAAAAATATATAAATACACAGTTTTTCTGTTCAGTATGTAGGTACTGAGGAGGTTACATAACTATTTGCTAAACTGGGAATTTCTTCTTGGTAGAAGAGAGGTATCATGTATAGAAATAATAATAATTTATAAATAAGTACATAAAAATTTTTATTATTCTTTGAGTAACTAAATTAAATGCTGTGAGATTGCAGGAGAGTAGTCAGTGCCCTGCATATATATTTTATGAAAAGATTTGCACACATGGCTAAGGTGTAATTCAGTGGGTGAGTGCATGCTTAGAGTGCACAAGGTTGTGGGTTTGATCCCCAAAGCCTCACAAACAGGGAAAAAAAATCGATTTCCTGAGGTAGATGCTCTTTTGATTAGACCCTATAAGATCTATAAAACATCTTTACATTTATGCTTGAATTTAAAAATACAAGGATGCTTTGGTTTTCAATTACATCTTAGCATAAAGCATATACTAAATTAGGGATTTGTAAACTAACCCATGGGCCAAATCTGGCCTACTATTTTTGTAAATCAAGTTTTCATTGGAACATACCTACATTCATTCATTTTTGTATTATCTATGGTTGCTTTCCTCCTGCAACAGTGAAGATGAGTAGTTGCAAAAGAAACTGGCCCACAAAGCCTAAAATATTTACCGTGTGACCTTTCACTGAAAAGTTTGCCAATTCCCATACTAAATCATGTTCTGTATTATAGAATAGGTTCATAAAGAAACTCTTCTTAGCCTTGCTTTCTCATCGGTATTTACTGAAATAGATTTGATTGCAGGAATGGGAGGGGCTCACAATAAATATTTGTCAGAATTCTGGTATTATTGCATATGGTAATTTTTGAAATAGTAGATGTCCATTGTTGTTTTCTACCAACTTTATCCTAGATTAATAGTACTTAAAGTATAAATGTTTAAAGAATCAAATAATTCTTCAATAAACTGGCCAGATATTCTTGCATTCATTAAAGAAAATATCATATGTTTTATTCTATTAAATGAAATTAGCTAACTTTTAAACTGAAAATGTTTTCAAATATTAACTTATGTGCTGGTGCATGCATGTTTGCTTTAATTTTAAGAATTTAGTAGAAAAGGGTCAACTGGCAAGGCAGAAATTAATCATTAAAGTTCTGTTTGATGTTAACAGGACAGCATAATGAAATCCCAATACCTTAAACATTACGGTGTTTGGACCTAACTTACCTGATACTGCATCTAGAGGTTTCTTCGGTTTTAGAGCATCAAGCTAACTGCTTGAATTAACAATAGCATCTGTCTACCCTGTGTTCTAGGGAATACTCAAATGCAGAAAACAGGCTCAGAGACACAGATGAATCTAATCAGCTATTTCCCAGGAGTTTCTCCTGGAAAAATAGCCAATGGCTACTGGCTAGGCTTAGGACAACTCTTCAGTTCTCATTTACAAATCCAAGACATCTTTTCACTGGGGAATTTACTAGATAGCATAGTGTTCTATTCAGAACAGCAAAAAGTTCTATTTATAGTAATTTAAGATTGGGAGACTTCAACTGATGGTGGGGTATGTGAATCATATTCATTGAAACCATTCTTATGGAAAATGGGTTGCCTCAATAACTTTGGTTTTCTTGCCATCAAAAATTATCACTAGTAGCAGCCCTCGTACATATAACTTGATTGAGATGGAGAAAAAATAGGGATATGTAAAAGAACTAAATATATGCAAGGTGTGGTTTCAAACTTTTTTTTATATTTGCAAGTTGTGTTTTAAAACTTTTTATGTGATATGGAAAAACTGGAGAGTTCAAATATCATGTAAAAGCCAACATTTCTTTATACTGCACTAAATCATTTACAAGTCAGATGCCAAATAAATAGGAAGTATTCTCCAGGAATGAAGGCAAAGGAAGACATTTTATGGAAGACAGATTACCTAGCAATGTAGTTTAAAATAGTGTTTTTCAAAGTATGCATCATGTTCAAATAGTGGGTTATGGAATCAATTGACTGTAAAAAAATATTCAGTATTAAACTTAATAGAATAGAAAATATCAGAGAACATATTTTGTTTAGTTTTGGCTTCAGCTTTAGTTGTAAAATGTTGAATGCCCATTTAAACTATTTTGGAAGGTACCTGTCTTAAAGAAGCAGAGGCATGCACTCGATACATGAATTCCACTGCTGGGACAAACAATGCTTTTATCGATGCTACACAAGTTATAACAGTAAATTAAACTAGAACTAGTACTAATACATTTATATGTTCATTTTGCTTTGGAAAAATTGTCTTCTTCTCTCTTCATCATTTACTTAGTTTATCCCCATTGTCTCTTTTGCCTAGGAGATTGCATCAACAGTTTGAAAGCTACAAGGAACAAGTAAAAAAAATAGGGGAAGAAGCGCGGCGTTACCAGGGCGAGCACAAAGATGATGCACCAACTTGTGGAATTTGCCATAAGACAAAGTTTGCTGATGGGTGTGGTCACCTTTGCTCCTATTGCCGCACCAAGTTCTGCG